GATGTCTTCCCCCCATTATATTTGTTTATATTTTTATCTTTAAATCAAGATATTTGCAATAGCTAGCTGTACATTTAATTTACAATGCCCAGACCCCAAAATACAGCGTTTAAAACTGAAAATATGTTTCTTCAAAAGAGATGCTTTCACACCTCACTGTTAAGTCCAAGAAGAGGAAAAAGTATCTCTATTTTCACTACAGGGATTAGAACAGGGATCAGCAACTCATGGCCCGTGGGCTGGATCCAGTTCACGAAGAAACTGGATCTGGCTCACTCCAATCCACATTTTACTAAAGGTACCAATCACTAGCTGTTTGATCTGGTCTGGGCTTTATTAATGGCGTACCCATCGCCTCCAGACTCTCCAGCTGGCTGTTGCAGCCTGCGTGGAGGGCTGCTCTCTCTTACTACAGCCTCTACTCTGTGTTCCTGGAGCAGCCAGAGGGGAATACTGGCCCGCGGCACAAACTAGGTTGCAACCTTTTAAGTAAAAGGTTGCCGACTCCAAGATTAGAACATTAGGAAACAATTTTTAAAAACGGTGTCAGGGAGATTAATTTTGCTGTGATGGGGGAAAGGTTTGGTTAAAGGGAGTATAGTTTCTCAGAGATGAATGGAAGCTTAATCTCTGAAAGAAAGCCCATCGGTAGTAGTACATTTTCTGATGACCCAAGCAGATCCAAGGAACTGTTTAGATTAAAGACAGCTATCTTCTCTTCCCTACCCTCCTTGAAACTCCTTTAACCTAAAGGGAACATTTTGAAAAGGGTACCATCTTCAATTTCCCAGGCGTTCTTCCCCCTCCCCACCTTCACCCCCACCCCTCTACTCTCCTTCTCTGGGTTTTGATGTAGGGATGTAAATACCACTTAAAAATATCTGTTTAACCTCCTCTAATTATATTGGATAAACAATTAACCAACAACACAGCAGCTTGGACACAGCTGCAAGCTGGGAGCCACTCCCGGTTCCTGGAGCCCTTTGACTGGGAAGAGGGAGGTAGGCAAGCCTAGCCAGACATCACAATACATGTGAAGTCCTGTGAAGGGAGGGAGGGAGCACCTGAGAATAAGCAGCTAATTGCTTCCTCTTAGGCTATGGGTATTTGTCCCCCTTCCCCTCTCCTCCTCCCTGCCTGCCCTGCTGCCTTCCACTTCCTGCCGGGGCACCACTTGCCTTCTTCCGTACCCTGGCCCTGAGCTAAAGTAAGCTAACCAGTTATCACTGCATTTATCGGTTAAATCAGGGTTTTTCAACCTTTTTTAGTCTAAGTACCTAGGATGGAGGGGAGATTGCACGTGGCCAGACACAGAGCTGGGAGGCAGGGACCGCAGGCAGGCGGGTGAGCTGGGAGCACTGCCGTGTGCCAGGAGCAGGACCAGGGCCGGGTGGGGAAGCTCACTGATCTGGTGTATGACAGCGGCCACCGCCATGTGCAGGCTTCCCTGCCTCACAGGGGGGCACCACTGCCCTCGCTTCTGCTCTTGGGAGGCGGTGGCACTTCTTCCCTGCCCGCCTGTGCGTACCCCCTAGGACTGGTCCAAGTACCCCCAAGGGTATGTGTACCCCCAGTTGACAACCCCCGGGTTAAATGATTAAGCATTTACCCTTTCATATCACTATTTTGATGCAGGGGGTTACAATAAGCATTTTATGTGCACCTGCTCTTTCATATCCTATGTGCATAAAAATAAAGCAAGAAACTCAAAATTATACATAGTTTCATAGTTGGTAGGGTTGGAAGGTACCTAAGCAGATTATCAAGTCTGACCCCCTGCCATAGGCAGGAAGGGATGCTGGGGGCAAATGACCCCAATTAGGTGGCTGTCTAGCCTCCTTCTGATGACCCCCAGGGTAGGGGCAAGCACCACTTCCCTTGGAAGTTGGTTCTAGCTCCTAGCCGCCCTGACTGTGAAGTAGCACCTCCTGATGTCTAGCCTGAATCTACTCTTAGTCAACTTATGGCCATTGTTCCTTGTTACCCCTGATAGTGCTCAGGGGGAACAGGGACTCTCCCATTGCCTGCTGGTCCCCCTTGGCAAGTTTATAGGCGGCCACCAGATCCCCTCTGAGCCTTCTCTTGTGGAGGCTGAACAGGTTCAGGTTCCGTAGCCTCGCCTCGTAGGGCCTGCCCTGCTGCCCCCTGATCATGCGGGTGGCCCTCCTCTGGACCCTCTCGACGCTATCCACATCCCTCCTGAAGTGCGGTGCCCAAAACTGGACGCAGTACTCCAACTGCGGCCTGACCAATGTTGCATAGAGGGGGAGGATCACCTCCTTGGACCTGCTCGTGATGCATCTGTGGATGCATGACAAGGTATGGCTAGCCTTCCTGACCGCGTCCCCACACTGGCGGCCCATGTTCATCTTGGAATCAGTAGCGACTCCAAGATTGTTTTCTGCCTCTGTGCTGACAAGGGAGTTCCCCAGCCTGTAGGTATACTGCTGGTTCTTCCTCCCCAGGTGAAACACTTTGCACTTTTCTGTACTAAAACCCATCCTATTTTCATCTGCCCACCCCTGTAACCTGTCCAGATCTAGTTGTACCCTGTCCCTCTCTTCTAGCATGCTCACTTCTCCCCACATCTTAGTGCCATCTGTGAACTTGAACAAGGTGATTTTTATCCCCTCATCCAAATCGCCAATGAAGATATTGAACAGTGCAGGCCCTAAGGGAACCCCACTGTCCACATCCCTCCAGGTCGAAAATGACCCATCCACCACCACTCTCTGGGTGCAGTCCTCCAGCCAATTTGTGACCCATCTGACTGTGTAGGCGTCAACACCACAGTTGCCTAATTTTTTAATGAGGATGGGGTGAGACAGTGTCAAAGGCCTTCCTAAAGTCCAAAAAGACTACGTCCAGCATGACACCTGTGTCCAAGGCTTTTGTGACCTGGTCATAGAAGGCAACCAGGTTGGTCTGACAGGACCTGCCTCAAATGAACCCATGTTGATTGCCCCCAAGCATAATCTCCCCAACTGTTATTAACAATTAGCAATAATTGTTAATAACAAAAACCAGAGCATCAGAGTGGGAAATCTTTCATTTATGAGACAATGTTAATATTATAGTGTTAACATTACAGGTATGCTATCAAACAGTAAATTAAACATATGTTAAGGTGATGTATTTAACAATTTCACTACATTACTATTAAAATTATTTTTTGGGGTGGAAACTCAAGAATTAGCACAATAAGATAGAATTAGATCAAATAAGTGTAGAAAGTACTTGCTGGTTGGCATAGGAAGAAATTGTAGATCTGAACATATCCAATAAACAAGTAATGCAATTCCAAGCTCTACTTCCACAGCTCTATCAATAATATTTGAGCACAAACTGAATGCATTCCAACAGCAAGAAGTCTACTGAATTCGTACTCATACTGAATAATAACTGATCTCTTCTAAAACTGTTTATCGTATCAAAACCTGGGTCACTAGGCAAAGAACCTAAACCCTCAAGTCTTTCTTCTAAAGTGGGAATACTGAGCTCCTATCAGGTGATGGTTGGAAATGACTTAGGAAAGAGTTGAAGCTGGAAATGAAAATAGTTGTATTCTGTGAATATTTGAAACTACTCAAAAACCTTAGAATTTATAGATTGTGCTCCATATAGCTTATAAAACTAAAGGCCAAATTCTCATCTGATTAAATCATCCTAGCTTCTTCGAGATAAGTGGAGATATGTCACTTTATACCAGCCATAAAATTATTGAGAATTCTGTTTAGAACTGTGCAAAATTTCTAAGAATTGTTTCATGTTACTTTATTAAACCTGTGACACTTCCATAATTGTTTATTTAATTAATTATATGTGGTTGTATAGGGAAGATGAGTTGCAGAAAAAAAAGCAATTTTTAAAACTTTCACTAAGAACAGTACAGCAAGTATATATTTTAAGAATTAATGAAAATATTAGTGCTAGACATGTTTTAATTAAGAGATTTACAATTCAAACTCGCTAATACAAAAGATCCATAGCCAAAATAGATTTTTTTTTGCAAAACTGATAGAACATGCAGATATGAGATATCTAAAAATCAACAAATCAGGAGTAATTAATCACAATGATCAGTAGCAGCCAAATCTGAATTAATTGTACTGTAGCAAACAAGTGAATTACCTCGTCTTCGCCCATAACTCCTTGCTGCATGTAAACAAAGGACAAATTGTAAAATGTCAAAGAACTGTATCATGCCCACATGTAAAAATATTTATGATACAAATAACTATGTGGGTAACTGATGCACTGTAATCTGCATTAGTGTTATGTTAATAGCAAACAGTGTGATCACATCATACTAAAGCCATATTTCACCCTTAAGTTGACTCTGCACTAAGAACTGAATATGACTAAGCCTTAAATTTTGGATTAAAGAATTTTTAAGCAATTTTTCTTAGCTTAACAATGTGCATTATTTTGCAATCTTCTAACATGCCCTTTTACATGATATTCTTAATGATGTACTTAATTATTATATATTAATGAATTTATTACAGCCTAGCAATTGTGCTCTTCTGCCTTTCCCAACTCTTGCCTCAGACTTGATAGAATTTAAATAATGTGCAAAATGTTGCTAAAGAATAATGATCAAAAGGAAAATGCTATTTTAAAAGGGCATAGTAAGAGTTAAATGAATCAGAGAAACATCCTGGTTCATGGAACAGTTTGTACAGTCCTTTCCAGTGACAATACAAATGCTATAAGACATGACCTTCCTCTTCCATGAAAAAACTAGCAGAAAATTAACCGCACAGTTTTGCTTAAAACAAAAGACTCCTTGTGGTAGTAAACAAAGTCAGGGTGCAAGTCACAAGAAATACCATTGTAATAGAAACACTGCATAAAGGCAAGGCAACAAATTCTAACAGACTATCACTAAATCAAGATTCCCCTCATTTTTGAGTGTGACAGGACTCCTAAAGAGATTGTGCTAATTGTTACAATGCAAAAGACACACAACAACACACTGATTAACCGTTTTTCAGCTTTTTGGATGTTTAGTAAAAGTAATGTATGAACTTGACATTAATAAACTGTACATTATTAACTGTGATAAATATTCAAACAGAAAACATTCTTCTGATGCTCCCATATTGCAGTGAAACCCACAAACATGAACCCTTCCTATGCCTCTGCAAAAATCTTTTGACTTCATTGGGATTTTTACACAGAATGCAGTTGCAAGATCAGAGCCATAAAACACTCTTTCACACTTGGCATTTAATTATGGTAGTTTCCATTTTTATGCTTATCATCATTACAATTTTATTTAGTTTCACATTCTCTCTCTTCTTTGGGTCCTTTCCTACCAGAGTTACTGAGTTGTTTCTGGAAATATTCAAATCCCAAGTCCAAAACTGTAATTCTCCAAGCCCCTTCTACATCATCACCAAACTATGATGGAGACCATTTTAACACTAATGTTTCCCAACTACCTAAAACTTTTGCTTCTGTACATGCTTAGCAGTACTTCAGTCTTGACAGCTATGCAGCTAATCACCTAGTTCACCCCTAAATTACATCAGGATCCAAAAACCAGGGATTTTTCTGCCAACTTCCCTTGAAGGGCTTGATCCAAGATTTCTTTTCAGAATGTATATACTGGACACCCTGATTGACAGGCAAATGGATGATCTCCTTCCAAACAATCCATGATCTCTGGTTCCAAACATACCAGCACGTTCTGCCTTTCCTTTGGATTAAACCAGCAAGCCCACATTGGTGTGTGGGCATCTCAGTGTCTTCATATACTACCCATGCTTTTGTGCCCTGGAGAGGTAGCTCCAGCTACAATTTATTTTCAAGTGAGGATTACATTCAGATAGCTGATGTCTCATTCAATGTAATTTTATTTTCTCATGAGACAGACAGATGTCTACTACTACCAGATCAGTAGAGAGGGGTGAAGGAGGCAGGTGCCAGTAAAATTAGTAAGCAGGGACTGGAACTTCTGCCAGGAGAGTGCTCTAGCTACTAAACCAGATAATTATATTTACTTTCATGCCCTCTCTCTTGTCCAGTAAATCTTTCATGGGACAAATTCAGCAGCAATAGAATCACAGAATCATAGAAATTAAGGGCTGGAAGGGACCTTGAAAGATTGAATCCAACTCCCCTGCTCTGTGCAGGAATACTACCAAGATCAAATGATCCCAGCAAGGTGTCTGTCTAGTCTCCTCTTGAAGACTTCCAAGGCTGTGGACTGCACCACCTCCTTGGGAAGTCTATTCCAGATTCTGGTCACCCTTACCGTAAAGAAGTTCTTCCCTGCATCCAACCTGAAACCATCCTCTAGCAGTTTATTGCTCCTTGTCCTCCCCTGGGGCATCCTAGTCAACAGGTTTTCTCCCAGCTCCCCGATATTCACCCCTTACATAACTTACAGATGGCCACCAGTTCCCCCTTAAGCTTTCTCCTCCCCAAGCTAAACAGTCCCAGATCCCTTAGTCTTTCCTCATAAGTTTTGTCCTTCAGGCTCTTAATAATTCTTGTGGCCATTCTCTGGACCCTTTCAAGATTCTCCATAGCTTTTTGAAGTGCAGAGCCCAGAACTGGACACAGTACCAAGTAGAAAGGAAGTATCACTTCCTTAGCCCTGCTTGCAGCACATTGTCTAATGCATCCCAACATGCTATCAGTTCTGTTGACTACAGCATTGCACTGACAGCTCATGTTCACCCTGTGATCAGCCATAACCCCAAGGTCCCTTTCAGCCATTGTGCTGGCCAGGACATGTCCTAACCTATATTCATGTCGATGGATATTTCTCCCCAGATGAAGCACTCTCAATTTATCCTTATTGAACTGCATCTGGTTCTGCTCTGCCCACCTTTCCAGCTTGTCCAGGTCTGGTTGGATCTGCATCCTATCCCCCTTTCCCCATAACTTAGTATCATCTGGAAACTTGGCCACTGTGCTTTCCACATCCTCATCTAAATCTTTGATAAAGATATTGAACAGCATGGGGCCAAGAACTGAACCCTGTAGGACACCACCGGCCACCTCCCACCAAGATGATACAAACCGTTTAAAATAGTTTAGAGTGTCTTTCCCTTAGTAGAGCCTATAGGCTTGGCAGTTATGATATTTTTCTGGAAAGTGAAATATTTTGATTTGAATTCTATTAACAGGAGAAGGATACTAAACAGTGGCCTTTTCCTATCCTACGTGAGTGTTCTAATCGCCGAGTTTCTGGCTGAATACAGGACACACTCCATGTGCTAAAAAATGACTCTTTGAAAGGGTGTGCTTTAGGTGCTGACTTTTATAGATTTAAATCCTGAGGAGGGTGAAATTCAAAATACAGCCCTGACCTCAGCGTTTCCCTTTTAGATACTTTACGTGGGTCTCTAATCTGCACGCTGACTTTTGTGGTTCCTATTTTGAGATATTAACTTTCCTATCAGTTGTCATTATATATACAGTCTAAGCATTTCACATGGGATTACAAACTCCACTGAAGAAGTCAAGTACCTAAAAAGAGGCACTGCAGTGCCTAATATATTTTCTGATCTTGGCCAACACAGCACTACACCCACCATCACCAAGCTGCTGAATCAATCCTTTACATTTCTTCCAACTTTTTACAAATACAAATACAGAAGTCAAGGAAAGTCAAGTTCATCATGTCCACACTGATGAGTCAGTTTTTAGGAAGAAGGTAGTGGCACACTATACATACACTGTTCATATAAAAATAGGATCTTGGATTAACGTGCATTACAAGCCCTTTTGGCATAAACACCATACAATTTCCACTCTGTTGATTCAGTTCTTCCCCTTTGCCATCCAAAACAAAGGAACTGTCTGTTATCATATTTTCATACTATTTGGACAACGTTTCTGCTGCCATGAAAGACATTTTATTATAGGATGCTCTCAATGTTCATGTGTTTGTATATTTTTGAAAATAACTGTCTCTTGCGAGATTCTTGCAAACTAAGAGAAAGTGAACTAGAAGTGGGAAAACTTTAAAAGGTTATTATAATGTTCAGAAAATAATGCTGCCAATGCAATTTCAAGAAAACAGTGAGTTTCCTAGGATAAGTTGTTTACAAACATTAAAATGATATTGCTGTATCAGCGTAACACTGAAAAGGCATCTGGAGCCAATGGAATCCCTGCTGAAATTTTCAAGCAGGGTAAGAGAGGAGCTCACATCACAGCTCCATGCCCTCATCTTAAGGATTTGGAATAATGGGGAAATTCCATATGACCTCAGGGATGTCACAAGTGTGACAATCTTCAAGGAAGTAAACAAGTCTGATTGTGGAAATTACAGAGGAATTGCCTTGCTGTCCGCCAAATGAAAGTTCATTGAGAGAACCCCCTCCTGAACTGCATCCTTTCACTTGTTGAAGAGCTCCTCGTGGAATCTCAATGCAGATTTAAGGTATTGAGAGGCACAACTGATGATCTTTACTGCTTGCCAGCTGCAGGAAAAATTCTGGAAACAACATAATCCCTTTTACATGGTCTTATTTGATCTCACAAAAACCTTTGACTCTTTTAATTGATAAGCATTGTGAAAGATCCTTCTGAAGTAGGGATGCCCAAAGAAATTCATCCCCATTCTCTGTCTGTTCCATGACAGTATGTGAATGGTGGTTCTCAGTAACGGATTAATCACAGATCCCTTTGAGGTTAAGATGGGAGTTAAGCAAGGCTGCATCACTGCTCCAACACTCTTCTCGATATTCCTTACCAAGATGCTACATGTGACCATCAACAAGCTTCCAGTTGGAGTGAAGCTAAAGAACCAAATGAATGGTAAGCTGTTTAATCCTGGCCAATGCAAGCCAAGAACAAGACCATCCCGACCTCAATCATAGAGCTCCAGCACACTGATGATGCTGTAGTGTACACTCACTTGGAAGCAGACCTTCAGGCAATCGTCAATGTTTTTACCAAGGCATACAAGAAAATGGGACTAATGCTCCACATTCAGAAGATTAAGGTTCTCCATCAACAAGTTCTTAATGAACAGTCTCCACCTCTGGTAATTCAGATTCAGGGTCAGACTCTGGAGAACGCTGAGTATTTCTGGTATCTGGGAAGCCATCTCTCGCTGAAGGCTAACATTGATGAAAAAATCTAACATTAGCTTAAATGTGCAAGTGAAGCCTTTGGACACCTGTGGAAAC